TTTTTTTTATCTAGTCGGCTCAACTCGTTTACAGCCCTATCTACCATTGAAACAAAATTTCATTTCTCCATTGAACCATGAAAGAGTTTTTTCTTTAGTACATGAAAATTTGATTTTCATCAGCTTATAGATTTTTACCAGTTAATAAATTGATTTAATCGCTTGTTCGTCTTTTTGATACAGCACTCTGGTAAAGGATGGAATTGCAAATTTGCAACGCAATGGGATGTGAGTGAAATTTCTTTTCCTTGTTTATGCATATTTTCACATTTTTCTTCAACGATCAAGATTCTCTTTATTATTTTATTCCATCTCTAAATCTTGAAAACGAGAGGATATTCAGTTCTGGTAACTAAGGTGAGGCAAAGGATTATTTTAGAGTGGTAAATATTCTTAAACATTAGTTTAGTCAGTTAGAAGTAGTTATTACATTGGAGAGTACAAACAGAGCAACATTGCATGTGACTATGAAATAGCTTAAGCACTCGATAACATACACAGAGTCACAGATACATCGATGGGCGAGCTTATGAATTTACGCGAACTGAGTGAAGAAAAAGAAAGAAGGGATCTTTTATTATTTCACTATTCTGCACATTTTTTGCATTCATGAGTAGGCATTTAGTCATTTTCATCACATACGAATTTACTCGATAATTTTACGACCCAATTTTCCCAATCCTCAAATACACAGGAAAAATGACAACTTTCTCGATTTTCCCATCTTCATTCCACGCCCTCGTGAAGCCCTCGACCACATCGTCGGTCAGAAGCTCCACGCCCTTCTCTTTAGCCGTTTGGTAAGCTGACCATGACTTCAAGTAAGTCAAATACCCCTCCAAATCCATCACCTTCTCCGAATCAAACCTGAAGGGCCCATTATTCTCGAGCCCATCTACCGGCTCGAATGGAAAATCAATGGTCTCATACTTCTCCTCGACGAACTTACGGGCCGGATCCCAGTACGGGCCCGCACCATCTGTGTAGTATCTTTGCAACACTGAGTCAACTCCAGGGTTGACTTCCGGAGTCGTGTAGCACCATGCCGCTATGACCCCATCGGGCTTTTTGAGGACCCATTTTACCTGCTGGTAGAATTTCGGGAGGTCAAACCAGTGCATGGCTTGGGCTATGGTGACTAAATCGACACTTGATTTCGGGCCGATTTTTTCTTGGAGTTCGGACATGGTCATGCATGGAGAGGTATGTTTGTAAGTTATGTTCGGAAATTTGTCTGCGAATTCGAGTTGTTTTGGGCTTGTGTCTGTTGCTATAACATTCTTGTAGATATTAGCTAGCTGATCACAAGAAAAAAAGAGAGGGAAATAAATTATGCATTTACTGAATTAATTTCAGGAAATGAACAGGAATTACAAAGAAGAATCGATCAACTATTAGAAACTATTAGAACCGGGGGATGAGAGTGCGGTCCCACCAGATAAAGCGCATCAAAAGAGGGTGAGGCTAGATGCACCTTGAGGTTTCATCCCAAAACCAATTGGTGATGAGAGGAGTAGTCCACTAGGCTTATAAACTAGGCTCATTTACCCTATATATAATCAATGTGGGACAACTCACAAGTGATATTCCAATAGAGAGAGAGAGAGAGAGGCTTACAGATCGAGCAGCTTGGCCGCTGCCAGTGCCGACATCCCAAGCAAGATCACGTGAAGGTGTTTTTGATGCGATGAAATCGAAGAGTATTTTCGGGTAAGAAGGCCTGCCCACAGAGTACTGCTCTGCCTGCTTGATGAACAAATCTGCCATTTTCAAATTTCAATCTCTGATTTTCAAGTGTAATTGTGTGTGTGTGTGTGTTTGATATGTAGATTGGGTGGTGAGATCCAAGAACTTTGCAATCTATTTATAGCAGTTAATTTATGGCCACTTTTCAAGTCTTGAAAGGAAACAACTGGGGAAGGTTCAAATTGGTTGGGATATACAGCTGATGTTTGTTTGTAGATTTTGTTTTATTCATCTGATAGTGGTTTGATGCCTTTGACATAAGATGGGATTTTCAAATTGTTCTTGGCTTGCTGTTCTTTGTTTTATATTATTATTATTATTATTATTATTATTATTATTATTATTATTGGCCCTATTTGCTTTTCTGGGCCCTCTCTTTTTCCTTCACGTAATAAAATTTTCAGCTACCACATGATACGTTCCTCTTTTTCTATTTTTTTTTTCTCTTTTTGACCACGTGAATCGTGATAATTATAAAATGTTAAATTTAATGAGTGCAAATATTATATAATTATTATTATTATTATTATTATTTTTGCTTGCAATTTTTTTATTATTGGTTGAGATGAAAATATATGTGATCATCAGAAATTATTAAATAAAAAACTCATCATGCAGTAAAAGCAAAATGTGCGGTTATAGTTGCTTTTGAGAGTTAATAGGCAAGTAGTGTTGTTGATTTCTTGGATATAAAATTTTTTGGTTTTGTTTGGATTTTTTTGGTTTGGTTTGGTTTGGTTTGTTATTAAAGAAAGTAGTAGCCAAATGATAATAAATTTTTAAATTTTAATTTTCAATTTGAAATTGGGCCCGATTTCTATGCAATTTGATTTTTTTTAATAATCATGATATGTTGCAATTAGGTAAATATACATATTACAGTATTTTGTCTAATTCGAATTCTCGATTTTATGATAAACAATTTTTTTTTAATAAAAAACTGAGAAAATTTTGATTTGTCATGCCGAATTTTAGCAAAATTAACCCGTTTTCTATACAATTCTATTTTTCTAATAAACAATAGATCTGTTGCAATTAGAAATATATATATATATATGTGTGTGTGTGTGTGTGTGATAGTATTTTTCCTAATTTAAAATTCTCGATTTTATGATAATTAGTTTTTTTTTAATAAAAAATGAGAAAGAATTTTGACTTTTGCAAAATTGTAACGAATACCCAATCTTTTTTTTTTTTTTCCAAATGCAATGTAGGAATTTGGTTCGGCAATAAAGAATATCTAACTCGCTTTAAAAATAGGAGGTGAGGGTCAACGAAGTTGATCTCAATGTAATCGACCATATTTAAAAGCGAAGCGAAGTGAAGCGCAGTGAAGTCAAAGAAAGAAAAAGTCAAAAAATGGACGATTGTGCGCCGGTTTCTAATATATCAGACCCCTCCGGATTTAGCCAAGGAGGAGTTCGATTTAGCTTCTTTCTCTTAGTCTG